GTAGTACCTCAGCAGTACTGCAGTACCTCAGCAGTACTGGTGGAGGTTCTCAGGAGTCTGTTTTCGTCAGGACTCTCGGGGAGTGATTAGAGCTGAGCAGTAACGATCGGCTCAGCCTTTAATATGGAAACTCAGCCACAACAATCCTTCTGTTTCCAGCTGAGTAATTCTCCCGTCTCTCATATGATTCACCTCAACAGAACCAATCACAGCGGCCCGTGTGTTCGCCTTCACTTCACTCACTGGGATGAAGTAGAAAACCTGGGTTGTTTGGAGCCAAACGTTGTGAGGATGAAAGTAAAAAGTCGGTGTTTTCTCAGAGAGTGAATCACACACGTAACGAATCCACACGTTCTTTAAACACCAGCGGCGCTGGTTTGTGTCTGTGACTGTGGGCGGAGGCGGAGGCTCACGTGACACAGCACAACATGGAAACACAACAGACAGGATTTTACCCCTCAGGGCTGAGAGGGGGCGCTAACGTTCTGGTAGCTCGTTCCAGTTAGAGTTTGTGACTCAGTCTGTGCAGATACAGAACTCGACCGGCCGGACTGCAGTACAGACACTGACCACAGACTGGACCAGGCAGCAACGAAGGCCAGAAATCAAACTTAGAAAAAGTTGGATTCGTGCCTTTGTTCCAACCAGTTTTGGTTGATCTAGAGTTTCATTTACAGACATCGACTTCAAAATCTTTTTTTTTTTAGTTTTGACAAATAGAAGAAAGTTCCTCTCACTGTGAAATATCTGTCGTCTGATTCATGAGCTGTAAGAGAATCTCCTGACGACATGTTTTTAAAAAGTTACTGCATTAGTTTTTTCTTTTCATTCTGTCCATGAGCTGCGACTAAAGACTGCGTTTGTCTACAGACTGCGTTTGTCTACAGACGGCGTTTGTCTACAGACTGCGTACGTCTACAGACTGCGTACGTCTACAGACTGCGTACGTCTACAGACTGCGTACGTCTACAGACTGCGTACGTCTACAGGACGGTCTGGACGATCAATCATTAACAACCACCTGCTTCACTAACGAGCTTTAGAGCATTTTGAGGTTTTTTTTTTCTCTTGAGCCAAACGCGACGTGTCTGTGCCGCACGTATTGATTTTATGGTCGGTGACCTGTGCCGCACGTATTGATTTTATGGTCAGTGACATACAGACCCGTTACACCGTGGAGAGTTGTTGTTGTTGTTGTTGTTGTTGTAAAGATGAAGTAAATGTAGGGACGACGTCTGATGTCAACTTTTTTGCCGATCCTGCTGATTTTTGAGGCCGTCACCGTGTCTGAATGTGCGTTGACGTCCGAGCTGACGTCAAACACTTCCTCTCCTCCAACATCAGTGTTGGTACAACATGTGCCACGACGTCAGAGACGCCTGGGTTTTTTTTTTTTGTTCCCCTCTCAGAGAGAGAGAGAGAGAGAGAGAGAGAGAGAGAGTTCAACGACAGTTTTGTCCCTGCTTCACAGCCTCTGTGCCGACGCTCACTTCTTCACTCTGGTAATAAAGGAAACACGTTCCAGTGGCAGGAGGAGCCATTAATACACATTAGGATTCATGAACCCAAACATCAGTTGAAGGTGTGCGACTATTGGTTTTCATAATGTGGCTACATTTACTCGTTAGCTTCTCCCACGCACCGGTGAGTCCTCCCTCCCTCCCTGATTTCTGTTCCAGTAACGCAGCGTTTTCATCCATCAGACCCAGGTGTGACCTGAGCTTTAGAACAACTACTGCCACCTACAGTTCATCCTCCTTTTTTTTTTACCTTTCTTTACCGCGGCGTCTCCCACAGTATCTGAAAATACATACAGTGTACTCTGCATCCACCCTCGGAAAATTGCTGCCCCCCCCCCACACCCTTTACACCCCCGGAGCATCTGCCCTCTGTTTTGTCCCCTGACCTCCATCTGAGCTGCTGACTGTATAAGGAACGGCACATTTTCTTTTTTTAATAAACCAGAGTCAAGGACGTGGCCTGGAAAATATTATTCTGTACGGAATTCTTTTTTTTTTTTCGTGTGTGGATTTATTAAATAGAATAGAAAAAAAGAAAACAAGAGACGAGGCTGTGATGCAGCCAATGACCAGCAGGAACGTCCTTTTTTACTGCCCCCCCCTCCACCCCTCCCCCCATGGCTACATCTGAGAAATTTGGTTTACTGTGAGTAACTGTATCCCAGAACCACCTTGGGTCGTCCGATATTATCACCTCGATATTAGCCTGTTATGTAATATCTGTGGGAATCGTTATCGGTTTTTCCTCCAATAACGCAACGCCTTGGGTTTCGCCAAATGATGTGTAGCCTAAAAATATTTTTTTTGGGGAAAAACATCTGTATATGAAAGTGAAAGTCACTAGATGGCAGCATTGCAGCTCATTTCATACAGTGGTTTGTACAGATAAATAAATAAATACTACCAGGTCGGTATCGGTTGATGTCGGAATCGGAAAGTAAGTGTTAGGACGATATCGACATATCGGACATCGGCAATAAGTTAATTTCATACAGATCCTTGATCAGACTTTTATCAGGAGAGAGGACGTTCACATCCCACCCCCTGGATGAGGACAAACGTATCCATCTGTATAAAAACTCTTCTAATCAACGTCAACTGTGACAGAGTTTTGGTTTTTCCACTTCAGACTCGTCTCCAACACGGACACAGACACCGCGCTGTCGTTGGCCGATGATTAGCAGACTGTACTATTTGCTGTACTTGACTGCAGCACCTCCTGATAATCTGTTCAGTGGAGTAAATCCAGTCAAAGCCGATACAAACACGCAGCTAATGCCGAGGAGAGAAAACCTCTTTGTCTTTCGGGGCTTATCCTGTGGCAGGGAAGCAGCTGAACCTGCAGCCGTTCTACACCAACATCTGGCAAAAGAGCTGTCGGTCAGTGACGTCCAGCTGTTAGCACTGACCATTTCATACACTCGACCACAACAAGTAGAAAACCAGCAGAGAGGTTTTCATACAAACGAAGGATTTCCAGAAACAGAGAGAAATACAACAGGAGACGTGGATTTTCTTTTCTCTCTTCTTCCCTCCTCGTTCCCTCTGATTGATGTCCGACATGTCGACACACACATTCACTAATTGTTTTTTTTTTAAAACCCAGGACACCACGAGACCACAGTTACAGAAATTACTTCAGCTCCGTCTCGACAGTGTGTGTCAATAACCTCAATGATTTACTACAAACACATCGGTGGAAGGAGCGAGGGGAATCAGCGGAAACGCGTCCCGAGACGATTGGCCTGTCGTACCAGCACACGTGTCGTCAGCCTGAGGTTTGTAAAGACAAAAGAAATCCCTGCTTTTGTCAGAAAGACTTTGGCGGCGGCTGCTCTTGCCTTACCCTTCCACAAGGTTACAGCAGCAGCAGCAGCAGCAGCAGCAGCAGCAGCAGCAGCAGCTCACGTGCTCCACAACCTGCTCTGTTTGTCTGTGACAGTTCACTGCTGATGTCTGAGCGCCAGAGCTTTGGATCATGGATTATCACGGAGCTGCTGCAAAAGTCTTTTATTTATAAAAAATACATTAAAAAAAAATCATCATATTTTGGTGACAAATAGACAAAAGTCAGACTTAGACTGACTTTAAATCTAAGACCAACGTGTGGAGAGATTTATCCAATGACCAGTGTCTTAGATCACGGGTTAAAAATGACTGTTTTTGACTTTGTGACTATTTATTTAATATTCAGCCACAAATAAGGGAATTTGACGACGTTGTTTTTGTACAGTTTGATTTAATTCTGAGTCTTAATCGTCCCACTGTGCTTCAACAGGACGTTGTTTTGACAGATGTTCAGCTCCTGATACGACGGTCTATTTCTGGAGGTGCGTTTTAAACAAGTGACCCCTGCAGCGACTGGGAATGAACCCACATTTCTAACGCCTCTCTCGTGCATTAGTGTATGAGTCAGCAGAAAATTCACTCCCTGGTGTCCAGAGGATGAGGTTCAAACAAAGAGGTGGAACACAGTCAAAGGCCAGGCCTGACGGAACCTTCCAGGACAACAACAAACCGCAGCCCTTCGAGGTAACGTAGGATTTTACAACATGATCTAAACGCTTGAAGTAAAAACAAAACAAAGACCAAAAAAAAACACTCAAAAAACCATCATCTTCATCCAGGATGGATTCAACCCTCCTCCTGTACAGTACTCTGTTAGTACTCTGTTAGTACTCTGTTAGTACTCTGTTAGTACTCTGTTAGTACTCTGTTAGTACTCAGGCTTCAACATCAGGGACTTGACCCCAAAATGTCTTAATATGACTGGAGGAGGTCTTTGGTTCTGGTCTATATTTTGGGGTTAAACGCTTGGTTTTTAATTGTGTTTAAATATAAAAAAGACATTTTATTCTAAGTGTATTTTTACTCTAGGACCTGGAGTAGAGCTTGGCTCAGCTGCGGAGGATATTAAGTAACCCTCCTCCAGAGGTCTGTGCCCAGAAGTCACCTTGGGAGGCCAAAGTGACGGGAGAAGTGATGGCGCAAACGGAACGGAATTGGGTTTCAGCCAGGAAGACACGGGACACGGAGTCGGATCGGCTGAAGATCCGAACGTGGAGCTGGTTCTCGACGAGCAACGAGGACGAGGTCGACGACGCGGCAGCGGCAGCGGCAGCAGCGGCAGCGGCAGCCTGAACGCCCTGCTCTGGGATTGAAGCGCCGTGGAGTGGAGTGGAGTGGAGTGGAGCTCCGTGGGCTGCACTCAGGCTGCAGCCCTGCAGTGTCCAACCATGTGTCCTTCCACCACCACCGACTCGACGCGCCTTCATGTGCTCGTGTCATGTCATGCTCTACAGTGATGCCACAATTCAGCGACAAAAACATCTTTTCGCTGCCTAATCCACTCACCCTCACCCACCTCCCCCCTGCCCGTGCTCTAGCTTATGTAGGTCATCAGTGACAACATCTGAGGCATGAAGAGGATGCATTTCTCCAGGATGTTTCTAACGATGCCTCTGCACCGACGGCCCTTACCTTCTGCTGCCGCCGGGCCATGTCTGTCGGTTGTTTTGCATTGAATGGATAAGCGATGCATCGCATCACAAACACATAGAGCTGCAGCTTCTTCTTCCGCTCCTCCTCGTCCCTCTGCAGCTTCTCCAGGTCTTCCTTCTCCTCGCTGACGGCCGAAGGACTCGGGCTGGTCGGACGGGCGCTGCTGCGGCTGCTGCTGCTGGGCGCCAGTCCACCCGAGCTCTCGCTGGTCCGGCTCGGGGAGATGCGGGTTCCGGCCTGGGGTGCCCTCGCCTCCTTGCATTCCTCCTCCACTATCCCGTCAGATTCCTCCTCGCTGGACGACGGATCTAACATCTTGTTCTACAGGCGACGCGACCCAACAGTTGACCTAAAACACCGATGTGGAGACTGTTTTTTTTGTTTGTTTTTTTTGGCACCCAGGGAACGGCGGCTTGGTTGTCTTCTCTTCTCTTCTCTTCTCTTCTCTTGTCTGTGCCAAGGTCTGGAGAAGGAATTCGCCCAGAGTCCAGATGGGATGACAGGCCCTGGCTTTGCTCGCTCGCTGAGAGAGTGAGAGAAACAGAGAGAGACAGAGAGAGAGAGAGATGTCAGCAGTACGAGTGCTGCTGGAGGAGGTTCAGTCCGCTTTACACCGAGCTTTTCTCCGCCTGCGCCGAGCACTCGTCGATGCTTACGTATTTTCTGTATTTTATTGGCCAGTCACCGCTGCGGATGTGAGGGGGGGGGAGGTGAGAAGGGAGTGGTGCGGGTGTGGAGTGAAGTGCTCTATCGCTCCCCTATCGCTCCCTCTCTCTCTCTCTCTCTTTCTCTCGCTTCCTTTCTCTGCTTCCCTCCCTCCCTCTCTGCCCCCCCTTCCACCCCCACCCTCTCTCCTGCTCTCTCTTCCTCTCTCTCTCTCTCTCTCTTTGTCTCTTCCTGTTTATGTTTTTTTTCTCTCTATTCTACTTTTTATTTCATTTTTCTTCCTCCGGTCTCTCAGCGCAGGGAGCTGTCCGTGGTCCTGAACACAGACCGAGCCCAGAGTGAAGGATGTGCGGCGGCGGCTCAACCACATCATCCTGCAGCGGTACGCCTAAGATGGCTGCCACTGGATTTTTTTTCTTCCTTTTCTCCCCCCCCTCTCTACTACTGTCAGTGCTGTGTGTGTGTGGGGGGGGCATCATTCAGGTGTAAACATGTTCAGACTCCTGGCTCCAGAGCCGCCGCTGGCCGCGTGTGTGGACGGCGGAGTGAAGCCGTCAGGAGCCGGCGGCTCACTTCACGTCTGTGGGCTGGAGAAATTGATTGTTGCAGCAGGTGCTGGTGTCTGTTGACAGGATATTGAATAATGTGGCGGTCACAAAAACTCGGTGTTGACTCAACAGAGACGTGTTGTACGAGCACCAAAGGTTGAAATTTAATTTTGTATTTTTTTAAAATCAGGTTTTTTTGGTCTTATATATATATATATATATATATATATGTATATTTGAACTGTTCTTTTATCAGCTTTTCTACAGATTGACTGGCTGTTCCTCAAATGTCACAATAATGTTTTTCTTATTCATAAATATTTTACATCATTCCATATTTAAGACACTGTCCTAAAATTATTTTTGTAAAGGATTTTTTTTTAACAGCCCTACAGTTAGACTTTTTGATGACGTTCTCAGCTGCTCACCTACAGTTGATGATGGGTACTGCAGCCGTCAGACACAACTTTGATTTTTGTGCCTCCACTTTTTTTATCCCCTGGTTAAAGTCCAGCACTGACCATTAATAATTGACCGACGCCCCCTACTGTACAACTGCACTGTACAATAAATGTTGATGTTGTTCAGTGCAGGGAACCTACAGTACAGTAAGGTTGAGGTAATTACCCCATCTGTTGGCCTGGAGGGGTAAAAAAGAAAAATACTAAAATTAAAGTTATTTTAGATTATTTTTTTAAACTCTAAATAATACTAAAATTAAAGTTATTTTAGATTCTTTTTTTAAACTCTAAAAAGAAAAACAATTATCATATATATTTTAAATAGATCATTTGATACATTTGTTCAAAAATGAAAACTGATCCTTGGCTAAATTCCATATGTACATAAGTCCTTTCACAGAAAAACAAGTAAAAAAAAAACCAATATCATCGTCTGGCTCTAACTTTGATCATATTGTAAACATATTCCTACAGATTCATGAATGGCCACTAAAAAATACAACAACTCCGTCCTTGAAAACGTGAAGTGATTAGTCCGTCATATTTGTGTGGCGTTAGCGGAGATGACGTAGTTGAACTCTTCTTGACCCTCTTCTGTTTTCATTAATTGTGGAGATGAGCTCGACTTGACATCACAGCGTGTCACGTCCTCTTAACAATCTCTTTATCGTTCATTTGGTCGTCCACCGACTGTCAAGTGCTTCTTGCGCTGCAATTAAATACTGTCAATGATGGAGCTGGAGGTAGAGTAATTACTTTAGTGGCGTTGACAGGAAGTAAAAAGCCAAAAGTGCAGTTTTAGCATCAAACAAACAGACTCTTAATATTAAAATTCAACACATGTTTTTATTCATTGCAAGGATTTTTTTCCTTTCCCAACCCTTTTTTTGAGCCACATATACTGTATATCATCAGAAAAAAAAACACTGCACACCACCAAACAAAAATCTCACAAAAAGTTATAAAATATAATAATATTCTAGATTAAATAGACTAAAAAAAAAGTACTCCTGTTTAGTTGAAGACAACACTGATCTACTGGCAGGAATTGAAGAAAGACACAAAGATCTTCTTCAACAGCTCTGATTATTTTTTTTAGTTTTTTTAATAACCATTTGCTGCCACCTAGCGGTCTGCCACGCATTGACAAATAAAGAAAAATTATTTGCAATAAATAAATAATAGTTTTGGGACCAATTAAGGGAAATTGGATAATTTTCCACGGCACACTTGTGGGCCACGACCCAGTTGTTGGGAATCACTGACATATGGAAAGAGGAAAAAGAAGAAAAAACACTTTACACCTTAACTATTACAAATATATGTCCTAATCCTAATCCCACCGTCACCATAATCTGAGCCTCAGTCTAATCCACAACCATCAGTAATACACACACACACACACACACCAGGTCTTTAGGAAACCCTTTGAAATATTCAAATGTTTGAAGTTTTAACGCTCGATTGATGGAACAAGGTCAGAGTCAGAACGACTGTCATTTCAGGGACTTAAAAGAATTCCCAGAATTCCCAGCTAAACATCCTGGATAACTGTCACCCAGGCTTGTAGTAGCAACATACACTTTACCTTTATTGTCCGGTTCAATTAAATTTTTTTTTTTTACTGATGACAAATGATGTTCCTGGCACCAAGTGTTTTTACGCTAACGACAAATG